TTGGCCCCTCACACTGGTAGATCAGACTACAAGACAATTTACATATTCATCCTCATCTTATGCAGTAGAGTTCAGGGAAGAAGAAAAAGACGTATTCTACATATAGATTGTGAAGATGATTCAAATGCAAAAAGGAAAATGTGGCATCTTGTCTCTTGCTGAGTCTGGTTAAGATCTTACTTTTTTCCATCCTCAGCCAGTGCCCTTGGGTATCATTTAGGGATCATTCTTGGTGAAAACAGCTGGATAGAAACAATGGCAACCGCTGCAAAACAGAAGCTGGATTCTGAATTTGATGATACTCTTATCCCTTTGGGCAGTGAAGTAACACCTCTAACCCTGCTATTTCATAGGCACTTAGAGTACATTTAATGTGAAGACATGCAAAGTCAGTGCCAATGATAGTCCCACACTATTTTCTTAGTCAGGATTAGGAGGAAGTCGCGGGTGCACAGAGGCATGTATGATTCATTCTTATAAGTGAGAGAGAGGATGTGATTTTTCTGGATCCCCGGAGTGTGCCTGTTTGAGATGCAGCAGCTGGAAGCCCAATGCTTAACTGAGAGGCCCAGTCCATAAGCAGGGATCATTGTTCCTCCTCCTTAGTGAATGCTGCATGAATTTGCATGATTGCGAGTACCCTCGCTGTGGGGTTCACATGCTATGAGAATTTAATGCTTTACTAAAATTAGAACATTAACTCTGATACTGGTTTAATGCTTTTAAATTATTCCTGTCTGAGCCAATAACACATAACACTATCAATCTGTAATTTGAAACTATTTTGAATTAAATTGTTTCAAATTTGCTTTAAATTTTGAAGTTAGATTTAGCTTTCATCGATTTCCTGTTTTGTATATTTTAGGGCCAAAAATCATCATTAAAACACATAGTTTTCCCTCTGCTGTGGATCCAGTTACGTTTGCACAGAGTTCAGCCTGACTAAAGTATCTCTTTCTAAAGAGTATCTGATCCTGATTACAGGAAAAAAAGATGGAGAACCCATACCTGCGCTTAGTAATCTATTACAATGATCATTCATTTCTGCTGTTAAAAATACAAGTCCAGTTTAAAATGAAAACTTGCCTGGCTCCATATTCTACCTCTTGAATTTTATCCTGTATTTCTCCAATAACTTACTAAGATCACTTTATGTGTTTGTGAAAGAAATAAATGTACTTTCATATTATAAATAAAGTATTCTTTTAAATCAAGGCACCTGTAACCTATTGCATGTAATGTAACAGAGGTGTAACACCTGTGATTCAGCTGGCAAACTAAACTTGCTTGTTGCTGGCAGAATGGTGGAAAAAAGCAAACAACATCTTCACAGATTTAATGTCAGTGACTTGGACATCTTTGTCATCTCTTAAAAGTCCATTGGCTCATGTTACTTGGAGCTGCTGGATATACAAAATCGTTCTCTTTTGTTACTTTTAAACTGAAAACTTTTCACCCAAACCTGTGAGAGCCGGACAACCTCAAACATCTTTCCGAATACAGTTGTGAAAAAAACTGATATCAAATTATCTGTTACACTCTCTGTCTTCTAATGAGGCTGCACAATGGGCTTTTGTTCTGTGTTTTTCATATGATTTTTTTAGAAAATTTTTATTCTTAATCATACCAGCCAGACTTCCTCTAACTCCCTCAAGTTTCTCTGCCAACTGCAGATACATTGAAATGTCCAGCTGATTGATTATTGATCTCTTTTTCCCAACGTACCCTTTTTGTTGGACATTTTCCCTCCCCTCTCCACACTGTTTTGTTTGGGTTTTTTTCTACTCATTTTACCACTAAACCAGTATAGAATTTTTATTCATTGTTACTTCTCAATCTGACATAATGTCCCTTATAAAATCACATTTTTCTTCCTAATCTTTTCTGTCAAAGAATTTTGGCTGAGGCTTTTTCTTCAACTTTGAGGAAATTTAAGTATATCCAGTAACAACCTTTTCTGCCTTCTTCTTTCTTTTCAAAATACTCCTGAACATACTCATACAGATTAAGATTAGCAACATAACTGGTTATGTTTTCTGAAATTTGACCTGGTTTTTCTCTTGACTTTGACTTAACTTGAAGGGACCCTCATTCAAAGATGCAATGTTTTACTAAATAATAAACAATAACATGCATTTTAAAGAGTATGTATACATATACTTATTCATATAAGACAATAAAATATATCTAATGCAATACAGAATTTGCAAATGAGAGTAATTCTCTGATTTGAAATGAGACTTTCTGCAGTTGCTGAATTGATTGTCAGCTGCAAGAGCAACTATAAGGGAAATTCACTGTCATTATGGAATCTGAAACAAAAGCACTAAAAATAAATTAACTTATAAATTTCATTCAAAGAAGCCAGGAAGAATGTTGCAATAAATTAAACAATTCATGTTCTGTGGGGTTTATTCATGCCTTCTGCTGATTGTTAAAGTGGTATAGACCAGCTATAGTGCACGACCTAAGCCAACTCTTTCTCTACTCAGACTTGCCCTCTGCAGTCCATTTACAAGGATTTTGACTAATAAATTTTCAAGTGAATCTCTGCTGGGACTTCTGTATCTCCTCCTGGGAATCTAAGACCTGCCATCATTGACCTACTTCCTTCCTTTGCTTAAGTCATTCTTTCTTCTACATTTCTCATGTTTCCATCTTTCTTACAAAATATATTCCCTCCTTTAAATATTCATGTCTTAAAGTTTTACGTGTAACATGTTGATCATGAAGATTCTCTGCAATTTTTTCAGAAAAAATGGGTTTTGTTTTTTTTTTTGCTCTGAAATTTCTGGCTTTGTAGATCGATTTTGGTCAAAATTCATACAATTTACACACAGCCTTTTATTTATTTATTTATTTAAACTCAGAAGAACTGAGTTCATATTTATTCTTTTTCATATGTTCCTTACATTTATGTCAAGGTCATAATCTCTAACAAGCAGTATTAGTCTCTCTCATTATTTATTGTTTTGATTGCAGAGAGCAATTAAATATAATTAACTGGCTGATTACCATTCACTGGTAGAATTTGCTAAGAATGCATATGCTGCTGCAGGGAGTTGTTTGCTATTTCCTGCACCACTGATCTGATGCTGTTTGGAGAGAGCCTTTTTTTCTCCTTTCTATTTGCTGCTTCACTGATCTGGGGAAGGAAGAAAGTAAGAGTATGAAAATAAGTATGACCTAGCTTTTGGATAGCTATCTCACAGAGAGCTAAAGGATAGATTTTCACGTTGGCTCTGTTGCAGTGCTGAGATGCAGAAGCACTAAAATATTTGTAATTGGATCATAAAAAAAAGGTAAGGATTCAGGCTTTTGTAGTGCCCATGTGATGCTGGGGAACACATTCAAACCAAAAGATGTTGGTTTATTTTTGATTTATTTTCCAAAACATCTTTTCTGGTGTGAGATTCAATGCCAGTAAGATGTTCTTTGTGTGTAGAACTGATAAATTTTCGTCACTAGGAATAAAAGTCGTAGTTTTTCACAAGGTCAGTCTGGATAGCATGCCACTAGATCCTTATTCAAGCCTTAAAACATTCTATGCACAAATTTAAGTGATGGTTGGCTAAGGAATAAGTATTCTGCACTGTGATTTTGTAACTGCCACTATTAAACTGATCCTTTAAAACTGATATTAATATGCTGTTGTTTGCTATCACACAATGTGGTAATTTGAGCTTCTGATCTTGAGATATTCAGGGGCTCATCTCATCTGAAGGTAAAATTCCTTTTGGTTATTTACCACTTTGGTCCACTCTATTGGAATTCAGACCTAGGTCCCATTTAAAACCTCATGCCTTGCCTTGTTTTTCAAGTGTTGTAAAACATTTTCTGTGCAGCTAAGCTGTGGCCTGATGTAAAAAGAAGTATTTTTTTAGACAAACTTTGTTTTGATAATTAGTGATTGAATGGTCCTTTTTATTGTAATCAAGAAATACCTTCAAGTAATTTTTTTTTTTTTTTTACATTTTGAAGAACTGATGTTCTACCAAGATTATGCTTGTTAGATTGGCATTTCCATTAAAAAATAAACTTTTTTCTCCCTGTGTTAGAAACCCATCCAGCTCTTTTCTTAGTGCACTTCAGTAAGATTTCTGTGATTGATTCTCACATTTGTGTAATGCAACCTGACCTATAAAATATTTTATCCCATCTTTGCTTTTGAGAATGTCAGACCCCTTTATTGCAAACTTTCAGGACTTTTTAAACTTCTGTGTATTTCTGTTCCTTTAAATTGAACAATATTCTCTAATTGAACCATGTCCTGTCTTTGGACATTCTGGCAAGCACCACACTTAGAGCTTTCAGATGACTGTGCAAATGTTAGCTAATTATGTCTCCTGTCATTCTGTGAGATAGACTACTTTTATCATCTGCATTTGCACAGATGGGCAATTCAAATTGAGAGATTTTCAGGTGATTTGCCCTTGACCAAGCCAGACCAACCCAACAGTCTCAGAGTTGAAAATGGACCCTGGGAATTGTTGCCTCCCACGAACCAGAGCAATTCACCTAGATTTTGGACACTAACTGACTACGAATAAATATATCTGTTGAAAATGCAGCAAGTTTCATACAAAATATTCTGTATTTCTGGCACCCCATCACTAGTATCCTGTAAAGAACTTGAGGTGTATCTAAATGCTGTAAGGGACAGCTATGATAACCCACTTTGCTGTTTATCATAGCCTGTGCATTTCACCCAAATTATGCATGGCCCTCAACATGGAAGCTGAGCCACAGTTCAAACCAGATATTTTTTGGTATAGAGGTTATATGGGGTTATTTACAACGCTTTCTCTGTGTTATTGTATGTCAATATACAAATAAACACACAGGGTTTTTTAAGGAAAAGTTAATGAAAGAAATTTTCTTGCTACTTTTCTGTGTTGTTTTAGTAAATGTAAATACACAACATTATATCTGCATATTATATATTGTATAGTCAATGTATATATATAAAGAATTTAAATAACCTTTAACTCATGTTGCAGATCTGAGAGAGAGCAGGTAAGAACCATGAGAGCATGAGAAGAGAAGGCTCATGGGGAACCTCATTCCAGTACTTAAAGGATGTCTACAAAGAGGATGGAGGCCCGTTCTTGACAAGGAGCTACAGAGAAGGCAATGGTTGGTGGGTACCAGTTATACTGCAAGAGGTTTTATTTTGATACAAGAAACATATTTTTACAGTGAGAACAATCATTCACTGGAACAACCTCCCTAGAGATGTGATAGAGTAGTGGTTTTCAGAATGCACTGGAGAGGGTGCTAGATAATCTCATCTAGGCTCCCATGAAAGGGATCTTTTGAGTGTTGTTCTGTGATTCTGTGAAAAGACTGAAGAGTCAGAATTTCATGGGGAGACATACCAATTCATAAAGGCTGTTTTACCACATTTATTGGTCAGACACAAGATTTAAATGGCCCAGATGTGCTAGTCAGCTCTTGTTGAGTTCTGTCAAAGAACATTTCAGCAACATTTCACAGAAAGTTGCTTAAGGTCTTTTATTCATCAAAATGTTACACTTAGAACCAACTTTCAAAATGTGCTAAAAACTTTCTGCCAACAGACTACTTGGTATTTTGCTATATTTTGCCCAGAGAAGTTGTAGATGCACCATCCCTGGCAGTGCTTAGGCCAGGTTGGATGGAGCCTTGAGTGACTTGGTTTAGTGGGAGATGTCCCTTCCCATGGCAGAGGAGTTGAAACTACGTGATCTTTAATGTCCTTCCAACCCAAACAATTCTATGATTCTGTAACTTCTAGTCTGCTCTTTTTAACTTGGGTCAGATAATGTATTTCCAAATCAAGAGTAGGATTTAAAATTTTTGAGTTAACATACCTGGAGCCAAATTTTACTATACAAATTGCAAGAGCAGACATAACGCACATAGAGTCTACCTACCACTTGGAAGGTGATCCATTTTTCATCTGTGTTTGTTTTATTTTGCAGGGTTTTCTAGACCTGAATTTCCAAGTCATTCTGACAGGCTACAAGAAGCCAAATCTGATCTGAGTGCTCTCATACAGACTTGTTCACCTGTTTCACAATGCTGTTGAATTACTGTCTTCATAGCCAACCTACACAAGGTATCTGCCAATGCAACTGATGGTTTAGATATGTAGCCAGCTAAAACTAATACTTTTCTGTATTTAGGTTTTTTTCCATCTGGCATCTCTATGTTATTTTTTAGCACCTTTTGCCATATCTGCTCCTTTTCTGTTCTGATCACCTCTTACTCTCTGTAATTCCCCACACTAACAGTGTTGTAAAAGAGGTAGACAGTAGATCTATTATATGTAAGATGATAAGCCAACTCTCCACTTGCTGACCTCAAAAATCTTTAATTTGCCATTTTTTTTCTGATATCATCCTGGTATTTATCTTGGGAGGTGTATTCATACTTTGTAATGAAAAATGCACTTTCAGTTCAAGCAATTGAGGGAAGCAGTTCGTTCTCATTACTTGAGGGAATTAATTAAATTCAAGTTTGAGATGTGCCTATCAATGCCTTCTTGAGGGATCTACTATTCTAAAAGGAAATACAAGGTAAGGTTTATAAAATTTTCATTTAGAGTCCTCTGGTTTCTTAGAGTTACACTTTTAAAAGACACACAAAAGCTATGTTCCATATGTTTAAAAACTCATAATCTGCCTATAAATGTGATGCTGGGCATTGCTAGATGGACTAGGTCCATGGGCAACAATTTAATAAAATTTTACCCATTTTTCATGGTTTCACCCCAGCCATCAACCTAGCACCACTCCACAACTCATTCACACTTCCCCACCAGCGAGAGCAAGACTAGGGAGAGAACTGAAGGCTAAAAGCCAGAAAACTTGTGAATTGAGATAAAGACAGTTCAATTGGTAAAATGAAGCTGCACATACAAGCAAAGAAAAACAAGGAATTAATTCACAGGTTCCCATGGGCAGGCAGGTCTTCAGCCATCTCCAGTACAGCAGGACCTCATCACCTGTAAAGGTTACTTGGGAAGACAAATGGCATCACTGCAAATGTTCCCCCTTCCTCCTGCTTCCCCCCACCTTATATACTCAGCATGATGTCATATGGTCTGTAATACCCCTTTGGTCAGTTTGGGTCACCTGTCCCAGCTGTGTCCCCTCCCAGCCTTCCATGCAGTCCCAGTCTCCTCACCAGTGTGGCAGTATGAAAAGCAGAAAAGGCACTGGCTCTGTGCAAGCCGCACTCAGCAATAACAAAAATATCCCTACATTATCAACACTTGTTCAGCACAAATCCAAAACACAGTCTCATACTAGCAAATGTGAAGAAAATTAACTCTACCCCAACCAAAACCAACACACCATTCGAATCTTATTTCAGCTGTGAGAATTATTCCTTCTTTCTCTCTTTTATTTTGCTGTCCTTTTTCTGCTTTGACAGATAAGTTGTGAAATCTTAAAGGCAGTTTCTGAAAGAGATCTACTGGAAAGCTGACTCCTATAGGAAGTACTCAGAGTAGACTTACAGATTAACCTGGGAAAAATGGTTCTTTAAAGATTACATGTCGAGATAGGAATGGTGCACATTCTCAGTCCATGAAAATGTAAAAGTTTTGAAAAACATTCCTATACTGAATCCTAATTCAGTGTATGAAATGCTGGCATTTATTAATTAAAATAAAATAATTCCAGTACAGAATAACAGTTTTGTTCAGAGAAGTTTCCAGGTTTTACTAAAAACAAAAATTGGAGCTTTGTTTTTTGTCAGGTAAGGCCTCTACAAGAACTTTGAGACTGTACTCTAAGAGATGATTGATGAAATTTGAAGTTCAAAGAACTTGCAAAAAGTTAAACAGTGTTTTCCAATGAAAAGCACATTTTTATGAAACTTTTCCAGACCAGTTATATCCCATGCAGTCTTCATCTCTCTGTTTCCTTATGCAGCATAGAGTGATGTGGTACTCTAATTTTATAATAATTTCTGTTAAAAGAAGAGTAAGAAAGAAAATTTGGGAGAAAAAGTGAAAAAGAAAGTGAGGAGGTAATATTATAATCCTATTAATCATGCTTATCCTGGGAGGAGCTCCCAAGTAGCAATTTAGTTGCTATCACTATTAAAAAATATTTTACTTCTACATTATTAAGCATTCATTTGTAAGGCCTCCATTATGTAAAGTAGCTGTCAGCTCTGCTGAAATCTATTACCATTATCTTTATAGCTTACTTTTCACTTATATGTGCACAGTTTTGATCTAAAAGAACTACATTATTGCAAGGGAATATTTTAAATAAATATTTCAATTTTTCACATTTATAAACCAATCAAAATATAAATACAGCATATGCAATACATACATGACTTAAAATCTTTTCAGCAAGTATTGGACTTGGAAAAATGACAGCTTCATATACTACTCAGTGTTTTTCATGTCTGTCAGACTGCTCATGGCCTGCAACAAGCTCTGTCTGTCTGTCTATCTGCCAGTCTATGTATCTATCTATCTGTGTCACTGGACCTACTGCGCTTTCATTGCCGATAATGGGCTTTGAATTTTCAGGACATAATCAATCAGAGAATTATTTCAAACCACTGCATTAGCTGCTTTGATACAAAATGTCAGATATGGATCTTAATGCTATCCACTCGTTAAAAGGAGGAGGTTTAGAGTTAGCCTCTTTCATTGGAAACAACCACAGTGGAGAATTTTCAGTATCACCCTATAGTCAAAATTAAAACAAAAAAACTGCAGGAGGCAAAATAACATATGTGGGATAGCTATTTTCATATGTTGTTTTACTAATAATCACTACACACCTATCACCTTTTTTTTCTTTTTGCATTCATAAATGTTATTATATCTTCTAATGGTCTTTAGTACTGTGTAGATGGTGATATTGTTCAGGCAAAATTAAATTCCCTGTCTGGTAGTGACACTGCAGCCATTTTCCAATCTATGCAGTAAGACATTACCTGATTATTGAATGTTCTTTTACTTCTGTGTATTTCTGTGTATGTTCTCTGTAGATGTAAAATCAAATCTATACCTTTTCAATATATTTGTAATACCAGCACATACTTACTTCCTAAGGGTGATTTCTTTCTGAAAAAAATAAAATCTTTCTCTCTCCCATCTATGAACGCCTGCCAAAATGTACAGTGAATTACTTACTGCTGTTTTAAGTGAGTAGCAGGGCATGCCAGGTTTTTGCAAGCAGCCATCCACTGGTCCAGCCAGGGCCCCTGCCTGCCCAGAGCACTGATAGCAGGTACCTCCAGGGCAAGTGGGGACTGGTGTGCAGTGTTTGTTATTGGATGGGCACTGTGCACTCCACATGCATGAACAATAGGGCAAGAAGTAGCCTACCTTTGCATACAGTTGCTTTCTTACCCAGGAAACGAAAAGCTGTGAGGGAATAAAGCACTCCAATGTGGTGCCTCATTAGTTTGCTCTCCCTTCCTTCTTGCACAGCGATATCCCACTGATGCTTGGAGTCCCTTTATGTCTGTAGCATTCAGGGCAGGAGTTGCATCTCTCTAAACATAACAAACTCCCAAACAGGAAAATATATGCTCACTTCTCAAACCATCTGTACTCATATGTGAATAGAGATACATTCAAGAGATTTGTAACACATTCATGTGTAAAAGTGCAGAATAGTTAATTCTGATGTGCTAGAGGAAAGCGCTGCAGGATTATTACATTCCTAGGAAAAATTATCAAATTTGTGCAGCCTGTATTAAATATTTACAAAGTAAATGGAGGTGAAACATTTGATCATCTGGCAGTGGACCAAAAGCACTCCTCCCAGAACTGTGAGGATGGATATCTTCAGGACAACAAAAATATGTCAGAAGCTTCCAGGAGGGATTACAGTTAATGAAATTATATGAACATATGAAGTGGGCTCTGCCTACACAAACATTAAGTAAAAGCCATAAGAGAGTATAACAATCAAGGAAAACCAACTGGCGTTTTTTTTTCAGGCAGTACAGTGGAAATGAAATTATAAGACTGTTGGGTGAATAATAAAAATCCAGATGGAAAAAAACCCTCTTGGTATATGTTTTTTGAAGTATGAAAGGTTTGCAAGCAACTATGAACCTGTCTGAAGAAGGTTAACAAAATGTGGCCTTTGAGGTGTGTGGGGAAC